CTTTGTAGTATAATTTGCAGTCAGGGAGTATGATACCTCTAGCTTTGTTCTTTTTTTCTCAGGATTGCTTTGGCTTTTCGGGGTCTATCTTTTCAGTATGCATCATAAACTTATTACAGCTCTATTTAGAATACTTTTTTTTTTTGGCTGTGTTGGGTCTTCACTGCACGTGGGCTTTTTCTAGTTGCGGCGAGCGGGGGCTACTCTTCGTTGCAGTACGCAGGCTTCTCATTGGGGTGGCTTCTCTAGGTGTGTGGGCTTCAGTAGTTGTGGCACGTGGGCTCCGTAGTTGTGGCTTGCAGGCTCTAGAGCACAGGCTCAGTAGTTGTGGCGCACGGGCTTAGTTGCTCTGCAGCATGTGGGATCTTCCTGGACCAGGGCTCGAACACGTGTCCCCTGCATTGGCAGGCGGATTCTTAACCACTGTGCCACCAGGGAAGCCCTATTTAGAATACTACTGTACTACTTTATGTTAAATGTAAGAACATAAAAATAGTAAAATTCCTTTCCTCTTTATCTTGATGGTATTTGTTGTCGTATATTTTGTGTCTACAATACTTTTTACCCAATACAATGTTATTATTTTTGCTTTAAACAATCAGAACTATTTTTTTAAAATTAGGAGAAGAAAAAATATAGTCTTTTATATTTACCCACATGTTTTCCATATCTGGTATACTTTGTTTCTTTCTGTAGATTTGTGGGTTTTATCTGTATCATTTCCTTTCATCCTGAAGAAGATCCTTTGGCTTTTTTTTTTTTTTTTTTGCGGTACGCGGGCCTCTCACTGTTGTGGCCTCTCCTGTTGCGGAGCACAGGCTCTGGACGCACAGGCTAAGCGGCCATGACTCACGGGCCCAGCCGCTCCGCAGCACGTGGGATCTTCCCGGACCGGGGCATGAACCTGTGTCCCCTGCATCGGCAGGCGGACTCTGAACCACTGCGCCACCAGGGAAGCCCTCCTTTGGCATTTTTATAGAGTACAGGTTAGCTGGAGATGAACCATCTCAGCTTTTGTTTTATGCTCATTTCACTGTCTCATATTTAAAGGACTTTTCCCTGTCTGCGGAACAATTAGTTGATTTCTCCATCCCCTCACTTCCAAGTGTTGTTTTTTTTTTTAACATCTTTATTGGAGTATAATTGCTTTACAATGGTGTGTTAGTTTCTGCTTTATAACAAGTGAATCAGTCCAAGTGTTTTTAAGACAGTGTTCTGTTGTCTTCTCACCTCCATTATTTCTGATGAAAAGTCACGTGTCATTTGTATTGTATCCCTGAATGTAATCTGTCTCTCTTCCTTTCCTTTTAAGATGTTCTTACCAATCTTTGGTTTTCAGCATTTAGGGTGTGATGTACTTAGGTGTAGTTTTCTTATGTTTGTCCTGCTTGGGGTTCACTGAGCTGCTTGGATCAGAGGTGTCACCCCACCCCCACTCCAACAAAATATGGGAAGTTTTTTATTTCTTCAAGTAATTTATCTACCCTATATCTGCTCTTCTCTCCTTCTGAGACTCAAATTATACTGTTAGACCACTTAATATTGTCCCACAGGTCACCAAGGCTCTGTTCAATATTTTTCTTCCCTTTTTCTCTCTGGTGTTTGGATTGGATAGTTTTCTCTTGATCTGTCTTCGAGTTCAGTGGTCTTTCTTATGCAGTTTCTAATTTGTAGCCCATCCAGTGACTTTTCTACTTCAGATATGGTACTTATCAGTTCTAGGATTTTCATTTGCTTCCTTTTATTTTTAAAATTGTGGTAAAACATGTAATATAAAACTTACCTTTTTATATTTTAAAAGATGAAGTTTGCTCAGTATTTTATGTATTTATTACAATCACAAAAGAAACAACCAAAGAGGAATTGTAATTATTAATTTTTTAAAAATATAAAATTAGTTTCATTTTGGTGTGAAGAACATGATTTTAAATATTTCAGTATAAAGTGGCAAGATTTCTGTAAAGGTAATTAATTGTCTTGTCAATTGGTGTTTCTGTCTACTGTATCGTTTGATAGTTGGAAGTATTTCAGTCAATAATGAGTTGTGGGGGACTTCCTTGGTGGCGCACTGGTTAAGAATCTGCCTGCCAATGCAGGGGACACAGGTTTGAGCCCTGGTCTGGGAAGATCCCACATGCCGCGGAGCAACTAAGCCCATGCACCAGAACTACTGAGCCTGCGCTCTAGAGCCCGCGAGCCACAACTACTGAAGCCCCTGCACCTAGAGCTCCACAACAAGAGAAGCCACTGCAATGAGAAGCCCGTGCACCGCAACAAAGAGTAGCCCCCATTCGCCGCAACTAGAGAAAGCCTGTGTGCACAACAGAGACCCAATGCAGCCAAAAATAAATAAATAAATAAATAATTTTTTTAAAAAATGAGTTATCCACATAGCATCACAGTAGACAATAAAATAAAAGCTGAGAAAATGGAAGGAAAATGTGGAGAAGAGAGGAATGGGAAAGAATTTATCTTTCAGTCTTAATCCGTGAATGTCTCTTGGACCTAAAATAAATAAGTTATATGTCTTAGTAGCTATTATTATACTGAAAGGAAAGACTTGCCAAAAGGATATAATCTTTCTTAGTTCAGAGAGCAGTTACGTTTTCAAGATGCTTAGTTTATTAGTCTCCTCAAATCTTTCCTCTTCAATTTGTTTGGCTTTATTTTCCATTTACTTTTAAATTAAAACATGTATATATATACATATGCATCTGTTTTCAGTTCTAATATTCCACTGAAATAAACTCTGAATCATTAAGATAATTTTTTTTAAACTTACCATTTTAACCATTTTCAAGTACACAATTCAGTGGCATTAAGTACATTCACAGTATTTTACAGTCATCACCACTATGCACTTTTAGAACTTTTTCATCATCCTAAACAGAAACTCTGTACCCATTAAACAGTAACTTTTCACTCTCATCTACTCCCAGCCCAGGTAACCTCTAACCTACTTTCTGTCTCCACAATGCCTATTCTATATACCTCATGTAAGTGGAACCATAAAATATTTGTCATTTTGTGCCTGACTTAGTCCACTTAGCATGACGTTTTCAAGGTTTATCCGTATTGTAGCACATGTAAGAATTTCATTCCTTTTTATGGCTTAATAATATTCCACTGTATGGACATACCACAATTTGTTTTTCCATCCATGTGCTGCTAGATAGGTTAGGTTGATAGATAGGTTGTTTCCACCTTTTGTCTATTGTGAATAATGCTGCTGTGAGCACCTGTTTGAGGCTATATACCTAGGAGTGGAATTACTGGATCAATACGATAATTCTGTTTAACTTGTTGAGGAACCACCAAACCATTTAGTTCTTTTTTTGTAGTTTGTTTCTCTTATGAGAGTCCCTGTCTGGTAACTAATTTTGTTCATCTTTTCATTAAAATACAAAACTTACATATAATAGCTCTTTTTAAGTGTTTGCCAATTCCAACATTTGGGTCATTATTTTCAGCTTCTTTTCAATGTGTTGCATTTTGTTCTGGCAGGTGGTGGTTCATGTTTATTCTGGTGGTTCCTGTTGATCCTGTCCAGTGTGGTTTTATTCTTTCTTTGTGTGGGTCTTTTTTGATTTTGTATTCAGGGTTAGGGCATGACTTTTATTCCTAGGGCCTAGCCTTTTCTGAGTCTGAGCTTCCCAGCGAGGTCTCTTCACTCTGACTAGGCCAGAACTCCCTCTCCCAGCCCTGTCCAACCTCTGGTATCTCCATTCTTCTCTTAGCTCTGCAGCAGCTGCTCTGCTAGGGCTCGTGGAGTCTGCTTGTGCAGCCTCTTCTGTGGAGGGCACAAGGTGTCCATGAGCATGCCTGGGGTGGGGTAGGGTCGCTACCGCCCAGGCCTCGGAAGGCCACACATGTCCACCCAGTTCCTTCTCTCTGGTCTCGAACTCCAGTCTCTGCTTCAGCCCAGTGAGACTGTCGTACTCTCCTCGGACTCCCTCCCCTACCCCCAGTGCCCAGAAACTGCCCCCAGGAGAAGGCCTCGGTAGCCAAGGGGCTAACCTTGCTTGTTTCTCATCTCTTAAGGATCACGTCTGCATTGCCTGTTGCCCAGTGCCTGGAAGCAGGTGCTTCATATATCTTGTCCCATTTTGTAATACACATGGCTGGAGGGCAGGCCTAGGACCAGTTGCTGTGTCGTGGTTGGAAGTGTTTTGAGTGGTGTGTCTGATGGGTTAAATGCCAGGGGAGCCGTCTTCTTCTGTCCCCCAGTGTCAGTCCTCATGGCTTTGCCGAGACACATCCCCTGCAGGCTGTTGACCAGTCATCCCAGTGCTGCTTTTGCAGGTTTTGATGTCATTATGGTGTTCAAGTAGGCAAAGGTGACAAACCTGTCTCTCTCTTCACCTCACCTGGAATACTTGTTTAAAATTCCATTTCCTGGGGCCCAGCTCAGCTTTGGGGGTCTGGCATCTGTTTTTTTTTGTTTGTTTGTTTTGCGGTACGCGGGCCTCTCACCGTTGTGGCCTCTCCCGTTGCGGAGCACAGGCTCCGGACACGCAGGCTCAGCGGGCATGGCTTACGGGCCCAGCCGCTCTGCGGCATGTGGGATCTTCCCGAACCGGGGCACGAACCCGTGTCCCCTGCATCGGCAGGCGGACTCTCAACCACTGCGCCACCAGGGAAGCCCTGGCATCTGTTTTTTTAACTACTTCCCCCAAGAATTTGTGTAGCAGCAGCCTGGCTGCTCAGCATGGACTGCAAAGACTCACTGTGAGCACTGAGCACCATTGGTAATTCAACGTGGGGTGGATGAAGAAATAGGGTCTCAAAGTCTGAGTCTTTTTCGTACAGTCTGGGTGAGGCCAGAAATAATGTGGAATGTGTTGGGTCATTTGTGGGGGTTTTTTCTATTGTCTGCTTTCCTTCCTCCCCACCTAGGCTTATTTCGCTCTTAATGGAAGCATATAAAAGAAAAAATCCAATTATTTGGAACTTCTCATTCTTTTGGAGTTGTTTACTCTTATTCATTTGGGTTCTTTTAGGGTGATGTTAGAGAAGCAGTTGTTTGCACTTTGGTGTCAGAAGATATCTCAGCATCGAGAACACCGCTTGGCAGAGAGAATGGTAAGTGGTTCTCCCCTAGGAGGTACTGGGACCGGGAGGACCTGCTTCAAGCCAGCCTTTGCACTCACTGCCTCCCCTCCTAGGACGCTATCCAGACCCAGACCCGCCCTGAAGGGTGACCTGCCTGTGACCAGGACTCATGAGGAAGGGGCAGCAGGGTCTGGGCATCTGTTTCCTTTGTCAGTGGAGTTTACAGATGGCTTCTGGGCCAGAGCAGCTCCTGCACATCCAGTTCTTCTGCCTTGGTCATCGTTTGTGGCCTGCAGACTCCCTGGCTTCTGTATCGCCTCCTACTTGACCCATTCTGATCTCTCCCTGCCGCAGGCCATACTCCACGCAGAGCGGCAGTTTCTGCGGAGGTCCTGGTCCACGTGGTGCCAGCAAGCAGTAGCACATCGCCTGGAGTGGCAGCGACAAGCAGTGGCCTGTGCCCACCACCGCCTCAGGTGGCTCAGGAAGGCTTTCTGTGTCTGGAGAGAGAGTGCCCGAGGGCTCAGAACAGAGTGAGTGGCCGTTTCTGCCTTTGAAGCCCTTCCCAGCTCAGGGCAGCTTTGACTGTAGTAGCAGCACTGAGCATCAGTCTGAGGGGTCGTGTTAGTGTAGACTCTGGTCTTAAGTTCTGGAAATTCAACTTGAAACAGTCTAAGCAAAACCAGGGCTGTAGGGAGAGGCTCCTGGGGCACCACATGGATCTCTGGGCTCAGGAACTCGGCTGGTCAGATGTGCCTGTGGATCTTAGGTCCTGTCTATCAGCTACATCCTGCTCGCTGATTGGGGCCCATTCGAAGCAACCGTGCCCAGGGGCAGGTCGTGCCAGTTTTTACCTCGCCATGTGGTTAGGGGCCAGGGCAGGTGCCCCTGTGTTCCCTGCAGGCGTCATCCTGCCTTGGTTCCTCTCTAGATCTACTTCATGCTCTGAGGGTCTCTCACCTCTCAAAGTCTGGCCACATTTAACCTCCTCTTCAGTTACCTATTACCACACGAATACAGAGCCCTGTGAAGTTGTCCACAAAAATTTGATTTTATGTGTGCTTTTCTGGGTGGAGAACCTAAATCCTTTGGCAGCTCTTCTGAAAGGGTCTTGGTTCCCGTCCATGTTGAAGAGCCACTGAGCAGGGGCCAGGGGCTGCGAAGGGGTGCTCCTCGAGAGGGCCCTTGGAGGACCTGGGTTGAGCACTGACTGTCTCCCCACAGGAGGACGGGCAGGGCACGGGCTGCACGGTTCCACGCGGCACAGCTCCTGTGTTGGGCCTGGAGCAGGTGGAGGGAGGTGAGGCTTTGGCACAGGCGTGGCCCGCGTGAGGTTGTGGGCAGGTGGAGCCATGTGTCAGGCTCAAGGCGAACATACGGTCTCCTCCACGGTCCCTCGGAAACCACCTGCCTCTGAGTGTGGGGAGGAGGCCAGGGTGCAGGTGCAGTGCTAACCTGGTTTCATGAGATGATTGGCTCACAGTTCCATGTTCTGTTAGCTGCCAGGCTGTTCTTCCGTAACGCTCTGAATTTAAAGTTCCTGGTCCAATTGGTCACAGGCATTCTCTTCAGGATGAAAAATGTTAAAGCTGAAATTGGTTAGCGTTTACCCTCAGCCAGGCACTTGCTCCCTGTGAGCCTCACAAACCCCTAAAAGGAGCACGTGTATAGAGGCAGATGCTGGGGCTCGGAGGTTAATAAGCACCTTACCCAAGCTCCCCCAAACAAAGTGTGAAACGGAGGCACATCCGAGCCCTCCTTGGCCCTGGGCCCACAGAAGCCAGCTGTCTCCTGTGTCCGCAGCACCTGGCCCTGCACAGTGCCGAGCAGCAGAAGCTGATGCGAGCCGACCTGCATTGCCAGCGCACCTTGCTGTACAGGGCGCTGCAGACCTGGGGGGTAGGAGATGCTGCTTTCCTCCAAATCTCCTTGCCTGGTAGGGAGGGGGATTCTGGAGGCTTTGTTTCCCTTCCTTGTTCTTCCTGCCTCTCCCAAAACAGAGTAGTAATTCCACAAGACTCAGGGCAAGTGCCCTGGCCAGTGGGTCTTACACTGCAGAGCTAAGTTCTCCCATCCTTGCCCGGGGTACCAGCCTTACCACCAGGGGGTGCTCCTTGTCAGGGGTCAAGTGGTTGGACTCACCAGATGAGAGCTTAGCAAGTCCTCTCCCTGTTGTTGGGTGGGCTCCTGCCCGCTCCCCGCCCTCTGTGGTGAGCGCTCTGGGCATCACAGCCCCTGTACCTCTGCGGCTGCCTGAGAGTGGGGATTGGTGTGGGCCTGGGGTAGCCTCCAGTCTTCCTGGTCATCTGCAGGTTTACCAGAGCCGGGTGCGGAGCGTCCTTCAGGAGGTGGCAGCCAGGGAGAGCTGGCACGAGAGGCGGCTGCTGCGGTGAGTCTCCACAGCCTCAGCCCAGCCTGAGGAACAGGGAACAGACTGCAGACCCGGGTGGGTTGGGGGCCCTGACGAGGGCCAGGCGATGGGGCCTGGCTGCCTCGTGCTGCTCAGAGCGTGGCTTTGGCTTTTCCACAGCAAGCACCGTTTCCTGGGCCCCTCATGTCTTGCACCCACACTGTGCAGAGCGGGGCCTCTGGGAAGCAGCTGCGCCATCTCCTGCGTGTCTCGCTCGTCTGAGCGCCTCTCCCTGCCCAGTTCAGACCTGCAGGATTCGCCTTTTCACCTCCTCTCAGCTCCCAGTCAGTCCCCCCACCCCCGGCTCTCCAGGCCTTTCTCCCAGCCTCTGGGACCATCTGTGTCTCTCACATCCGTGGACTCACTTATACCCCTCGGCTCCACTGCCTCCGAAGCCTGTCCCGCAGCTCCTGCTGAGCCAACCTCTAACCTACTCCCTCCCTCATTTCCGCTCTTTCTTTGCCTGCCTCTGTGTTTGTTCAGCACATGCTGTTCCAGGCTGCCCTTGTCCTTCCTCCATTTTCCCCGTCTCCACCTCTCTTATCATGGATGCATCACCTGTGTCATCGTCACCTGGAAACGGCTTAGTGTTTCCCCGTGGTGCGTGAATGCATGAGGCTGCAGTGCCTGTGGTGCTCCCATGGCACCTGCACAGAGCAGCTCAGCCGTGTGCAGGGTGTGCAGTCAACGTAAACGTGGCTGTCAGTGCGACAGATACACTTGGGCACGGGGAGACCTCAATTCAGGACCGGGCTGAAGAGCCTCGCACTGTTCACATCCATATCACCCTGTCCCCCCCGTGTACCCGCAGGAGTGCATTACGTCGCTGGAGAGAGAATGCCGTGGCCCAAGCGGACGAAGCAAAGAAAGCCTCTCGAGCAGCAGCTCATTACAGAAGGACCCTGTGCTCCAAGGTGAGCCCTGGCAAGCCAGCTGGTCGCCGGGGGGTGGGGGTGGGGGGGGCGTGTTCCTGTGAGAGGGGAGCGTGGGGGGTAGCTGTGGAGGTTTGAGCTGAATGAGGAGCCTAGAAAACAAGATGGCTCCCTTCTCCAGCACACACAGCTGTGCCCGCAGGTGGGTTTCTTCACTTGTTTATTGTACTGAAGTATGGACCAATATCCGTTAAAACAAAAACATGGCATGTAGTGAGTATGAACCAGCTCTTACCAGAACCAGTATTTCCCACACACGTGGAATTTTCCGCTGGGACAAATCGTGTAAGTCACCACACCTCTGTCCCTTTGTGTCGGCATAGGATGCTTGGGTGCCCCCTTTCCCCCATCCTGCTCGTCGGCCTCACGGGATTCGTGGCTGTGCGGGCTTTCCATAGAGCATCCAGGAATGTGAGGTCATTGGTCATTGTCGCTGGGAAGTGGCCCCCAAAATGCCACTTGGTGTGGCCTGGGCCCACTTGCTGGGGGAGGGACATGGCTATGAGAAGAAGACGTGTCACTAGACAGGAGACTCAAATGACATGACAGAGGTGGTCCCTGGACTCTGGGATGTTTTAGAAGAAAGCACTTCACTGGGAGCCCCGCACTGGCAGGCCGGGACTGGTGCTGACAGCTTTGGAGCCTCCACAGATGAGTGTTAATTACACATGGTCAGGGCACAGTCTGCTCTCAGGAATGCTCTGAGGCCAGCATGTGTGTCCCCTCCCCCTGGAAGGACGGTCAGGACTCTGCTTGGCTGCAGGGCTCAGAAGGGAGGAGGCCTTTGTTGGGGGATGGAGTTCATGACTGTTTGGGGAGCACGCATCCCCTGTGTTCTGCTACTGTGATTTCGTATGTACCTCATATGTGAAAGTACGTGAAACATAAGGCTTCCATTTAACAAATAGTAGAATGAAAGCCCACATGAGGACTTGACTTCTTCGTGACATGGTATGAAGTTTAGCTCCTCTGGTCCCGTTGCCTGAGATACAGGGCTTCCAGCGAGGGTGCTAGGCATGGTTGCCTGCCATCTGCGTGGACGGCGGGCGCTTTCTGGAACGTGTGTGAGTGCCCTACGCCTGGCCTCATTCCACGAGGAGCTGCTTGCAGAGTTGAGGTGACCCCGGGGAGTCGGGACATGCCGTGATCACCCCTCTATTCTTCTTCTGCCCCTTAGGTCCTGATCGCGTGGCGGGAGGCAGTGTCAGTGCAGATATACTACCGACAGCAGGAGGGCCAGGCTGTCAGGGACGCCCAGGTGGCGCTGAATAGGGGTAAGTGGGCCCGGAAGCTGAGGAGAGGCCTGTGAAGGACACAGCTTTCTTTATTCTCCCAAGGTGCTTCCCCTCAGTCTCTTGTCTCTTTCTCATGTGTATTAGCCTCCTGTTGCTGAGGTAACCAAGGACCACAGACTTTAAAACCACAGAAAATTGTTCTCTGAGTCCAAACTCGGGTGTCGGCAGGGCTGTGCTCCCTCCGAAGGCTCTAGGGGAGGCCCCTTTCCTGCCTTGTCCAACTTCTGGTGGCTCCCGGCAATCCTTGCTGTTCCTCAGGTTTTAGATAGGTCACTCCAGCCTCGGCCCTGTTGTCACGTGGCTGTCTTCCCTGTGTATCTGTGTCTCTCCTTAGAAGGACACCAGTCATACGGGATTAAGGGCCCAGCCCCAGCCCACTTTAGCTGTCAGTTACTGCACTGCACTGACCCTCTGCCCAAATAACATCAGCTCTGAGGTTCCAGGATGGACGTGAACTTGGTAGGGAGTAACTGTTCAGTCCAGTACATCTTTACTTTCTCTTCCCAACTGATTGCCAACCAGTTTATATTAAAATGAAAGGCAGGGCTTCCCTGGTGGCGCAGTGGTTGGGAGTCCACCTGCCGATGCAGGGGACACGGGTTCGTGCCCCAGTCCGGGAAGATCCCACATGCCGCGGAGTTGCTAGGCCCGTGAGCCATGGCTGCTGAGCCTGCACGTCCGGAGCCTGTGCTCTGCAATGGGAGAGGCCACAACAGTGAGAGGCCCGCGTAACACACACACACACACAAAAATGAAAGGCCAAGGCTTGAGACCTACAGAGAAATGTAGACATGGAGCTGGAACGGGGGACTTGGGGGTTGCCGGGGTGGGGTGCTTTGATGGGAAGGCGGCGGCTCCTTGTCAAGTCAGCCCCGTTGTGTCAGAGTCCGCTTCCTTGCCCGTTTGGGGAGCAGGGACTTGCCTGGTTGGCACCAGGTAGTCCCGTGACCTGCCGTACAGACAGCCTGGGAAACGGTCCAGATGGAGCCTCTGTTCAAGAGATGCATGGAAACAGAGGCCCTTGGCTCTGCTGCGGGGAGTCTGATGCTCTAAAGAGGTAGCTCCTATTAGAATATATGAGAAAACAAATGGAAATGGTTTAAATCAGACCAGAGAGAAAACGGACCAAGTTGTTAAATTGGCTTAATAGCATATGTTCCAGGACAATCCACTTAGGTTTGGTTCTGACTATTTTCTTGTGTTGATGAACACAGATCCTGCTTCCCCCTGAATGGAATCCTGGGGTCCAGAATCCCGTACCTGGTCCGCCCTCAGCATGCTTCTCTGTGTCCTCAGGCTGCCCCTTGCCCCAGAAACGAGGGGTGTGTTTCTAGTCATTCCCAGGAAAGATGCCGAAGGGCTCAGCCCGTCCCTGGTCTCTGCTTGGACCAGAGTTTTGGCACCGGTGCTGCATGGGCCTTCCAGTTTGGGTCAGGCGGCCACGGTGGGGAGGTGACAGGCACAGGACACAGCTAAAGCTTCTTCCCTCCGCTGGCCTGCGGGCGGCAGCTTTCCTTAGACGGGGTGGCAGCACGTGGCTGGCCCTGGGCTCGCTGTGTCCATTAGGGCTGGTACAGAGGACCGGGGAGACCGTGTGAGAAGACACTGTGTTGTCAGCACACAGCAGATGTGCAGTCAGTACCTGTGGGACCGTGTCTTGGCTTAATTAAGGCCTCTGAGTCTCAGGCACACCTTAGCGGTCTAGGGCTGGGCTAGGTGGTGCAGGAGGACGGAGTCGTGGACACTCACGCTGATCGGTGCTTGAGAGGTGCAGGCAGGGCCGCCTGCTGGCTATACGACCTTGGGCACGGCCTCCTCTCAGCCTTGGTGTCTCCGACTGTGGATGGGGATGATAGTACCCGCCTCTGGAGTTGATCATGAGGGTCCAGTGAGGCTAAGATATCCCCGCATAAAGCAGGACCTGGGAAATTTCAGCACTTAGTGCTAACGCCTCCAAGCTTGTGAACGTGGCTTTCCCTGCCCACCTCCGGCAAGTCCTGGAGGACAACCCCATCTTGGCCTCTGTGCCTTGGGGTTAGCTCTCTTCTGTTTTCTCTAAAAGAATCTTCTCTTGGGGCTGAAGAGGAAAAAAATCAGAAGAGAGTGCTTGCTCCCTCAAGAGAGAATCTGGTGACACAGACGCAATGCAGGGTGTGGCCCCTGCCTGCCTGTGGAGCCCGGGCAGGAAACGGCCAGCCTGTCTCAGGCTGCCTGGGCCTCTGAGCCTCGTTTTCCTCCCTGGAAAATGGAGCCACTGCCTCCCACTCCCTCGGACCCAGGGTCTTCTCATTCATGTGCCCAGCAGCATCTTGTGGGCAGTTCCGCTGGGGCCCTGGCACACCTGTGGTTGCTATGCACAGCATTATGGCTGGGGGCGGGGGGTCCTTGGAGGGCCCAGTGGTAAGCAGCATATCTGGTTCCAGTCAGGGTGTGCATAGTCACTGAAGGTGGGTGGCCGGAGCTCTCCTCCCAGGGTGGCTACCGTCCACACGTGGTGTCTCACCGAGTGTGGTCTAACACCCCAGTTCTGTCCCCACACAGCCTTCTCCACCCTCTAAACTTTCACCATTGCATAGTCGTCCATATATTGATACTTCCTCCAAAAGAGCAAACTGACTCGGACCCGCCTTAGGCTGTCTCAGGACCTGGTTTCGGCGCTGGAGGGACCGCAGCTGGAGCGCAGCCCAGCAGAGGGTCCAGATGGAGAGGGTCGCGCAGCATTACCGCCGGCAGCTGCTGCTGCAGGCCATGGCCCGGTGGAAGGTGCACCATCTGAGCTGCATCAGGAAGAGGGTGAGGCAGATGGCAACCCCCCGAGTTCCCCTGTGCGGCGGGGCTGTCTGGGCCAGGAGACCGCATCGCGAGGAGGAAAGGTCTTTCCAGAAGCACTTACTGCTTCCATTGTGGATGCTGGGTGGTTGGAGTCCTGCGGGCGCAAGGCTGCCCTTCTGGGTGTTCAGTGAAGGCTGGGGAAGCCGGCCTTCCGGGTGGAAGATGGCTCAGCAAAGAACTTGGTTCAGGGTGAACCATGCCTGACGGAGCTGGGTGACCTACCGAGGCATCTGGGCACCCCTGTCTGGGGCAGGAGGCCCTTGGCTTCAACAAGGATGACTCCTGGTGGTGGGAGGATGGTTCACTTGGGCCTGGAGCCTGCACCGCCCACAGGGGCTCCGGGTGTGGGCATCTGGCTGCACCAGGCACACAGCCCCCTGTGCACACTCTCTCCCCAGCTTCTTCAGAGACAGGCTGCCCGACTCCTGGCCCAGACACTCAGCCGGACCTGCTTCCACCAGTGGAGACAGCAGGTGGGAGCCGTGGAGAAACCCCTTCTCGCTCCCCCTCCTCCCGCTGCCTCCTGAGCCCGCCTCTAGCTCATCATTTCTCATACCACCCTCTTCCCAGGGCTCCCCTACCCCCAGCCACCTCCTGGCACCACCAGCTTCCTTCACTTGGAATCTGTTTAAAGCCAGGTCACTTCAGGGCCATGTTTCTACAGTGTCATGTTGAAAACTTGTCAGGGTACTATCCAGAAATTAATAGGAAATGCATTTTAGGTCTTTGCCAAGGCCTTGATAAGACACCCAGTGGGGCTGCGTCCTGCTTAGTGGCCCTTCATGGGCCAGGTCCCTCTTACCCTCGGGCCCGCAGTGCAAGCAGTCCCAGCTTTTCTCGCTGGAGCCCGGCGCACTGCCTCACTGCTCCCGACCCCAGAGCTCCTGGCCTTTGTTCTTCCCAAAAGAGCTTCATTGACCGCCCCCAACCTCAGGGCAGGCCTGACTAGAGAGGGTCGGAGAGTGACCGGGGCCATGGGGTCAGGGTGGCCTCCCTAAGGAGACATTTCCTTTCTGGCCCGTAGCTGGCGGACAGGAGGCGGGAGCAGCAGGACACGGCGCGGGCCCTGTGGTTCTGGGCCTTCTCACTACAGGCGAAGGTAATGGGCTCCCTGTCCCAGGAGAGGACCGTGCCCCGGTGGAGGGAGCCTGAGCAGGAGGGCTGGGCCTCACCTCCTCCTCTCCCTGAAGGTCTGGGCTGCATGGCTCGGCTTCGTGCTGGAGATGAGGAGAAAGAAGGTGCGGCAGGAGCGGGCAGTGCAGGCCTACCACCAGCAGCTCCTCCGGGAGGGCGTCATGCGCCTCCTGTGCTTTGCAGCGGGCATGAAGGCCTTCCGGCAGCAGCTGCACACCCAGCAGCAGGTGCAGGTGGGCCGGGGTCCCCCACCCTTCTGTGGGGAGCGGGTGGTAGGCACAGCGCGACCTGACCAGAGGCTGGTTGCAGGCGGCCCACAGTCTCCACCGCGTGGTCCGTCGCTGTGCCATGCTCTGGAAGCAGAAGGCACTGGGCCTGGGCAGAGAGCCTCAGCCCCCTACGTCCACTGTGTGCAGCAGGAGAGTGACATTTGAGGGTCCCCTTCCCAGCCACCTTGCTGCTGGGGCTGGCGATGCCTCCCCGGAGACCAAGAGGATAACAGCTCCTCGTGGGCTTCGGGGAGCTCTGGACAGCCTGGCGTCGGCCACTGGGGACACCCAACTCCTGGAGCTGTGAGTAGCCCGTCCCTCACCTCTTCCTCCTCGCTTCCCCCTGGGGCAAAGCTTGGATGGTACAGGAATGACACTGGGCCCCGAGGGTCATGGCCAAGCCACTTGGAACCCTCTGTACAGGATTCTGCGCCCCCATTCTTCGGCCCTAACCAAAGGGACCACAGCCTCTGTTCCTCCCGAGCGTGGGAGAAAATGTATGGTTCCTTAGCAAAGGAATGGGCCGTTGGGCAGCCCCCCTCCCCCTCAAGACCTGGTAGTCTCCCCACGCCTCCCGTGACAGCCAGGAAACAGGTACCCTCTTGGAAACCCCACTTTTTTGTGACCTGGCCCCGCCCCATCCCCACATGCTGTGCTGCTGTAGCTGACAAGGGCCCCATCTCTGAGCCTGCTCCAGCCTGGTTGCCTGGGTCAAGTGAGACAGCATGGATGGAGCACTCGTTGCCAGCACGCTCACTGGAATTACTAGAAGTTCAGTAGGGTGCCTGGGGCAGAGCCTTTCCTTCTCTCTTCAGTCTCCCTGTAAGATGGAAGGGGTCAGACTGGATTACCCCGCCCCACAGAGGTCTCAGGCTCCAAGCAGCCCCTGGGCAGCCTGGAGGAATAGCCTGTGTTTCTTCCCAGGAATGCTGCCCGCTGGGCAAGAAAGCAACCGCGACGCCCAAGCTTCCTGCTAGAGCCCATTGAGAGCCAGACGCCCCTGGGGTGTGGCACCCTCGGGGGGCAGGGGTAGGTGGTGTGATTCTGGGGACTTTAGGGCCGGTGGCCCCCCTTCTGTCCTGCTCCTCGGGAGGGTACCACACCTGACCAGCTCCTGTCTTCCCTCTGCTCAGGCCTGAGGCACTGTGGGAGCATGGCCTAGGTGAGGTCCAGCCAATAGGCCTTGCACTGACAACACCCTTCCTGGCAAAGGCCCAGACAGCACTGGACCCAAGCAGCCCCCTGCCAAGCGCCTCTGGCCTGAAGCCCCCGCCCACAGTGAGTACAGGCCTGGAGCTGTTGCCCCCTTCTTCCTTCATGCTGCGTGGGGCAGAAGCACACACCTGGGTAAGTCCCCCTGGTTACCTGGGGTCCTGTTCTTTGGTCTCGTCTTCGTGCCAGTGCTCTCCTTTGTGCGCTTGGTGCTGTAGCCACAGCAGTACTCATTGCTTCAAGAAGATGCAGGGAGGCCTGTGCAGGGGCCAGTGTCCTAGGGGCACAGCAGGGAACAGCCCCCGAGGCCCATCCCTGCTCGTGACACTTACATGGTGGAGGAGACAAAAGAAACCCCAGCATGCAGACGAATGAAGAGACTGTGGATCATGGAGGGTCATACAGGCCCTGGTGAAAGTCTGGACTTTAAGAACAGGAAGTTGTGGAGGATGATTGGCGGCTGTGCTCGGGTCCAGCAAAGGGTGCTGGTGGCTGGGACTCGGGGGGTGGCTGTGGATGTCGTGGGAGGCAGACTAGGTAGGGCTTGCTCTGATGAGTCTGATAAGAGGGAAAGAAGGAATTGTGGATGGCTCCTGGGTTTCTGGCCTGAAAAGCTCAGGGAGTGATGAGTTCTTTACTGTGAGAGGGAAGACGGAGGGTGGGAACCCAGCAGCTGAAGCATCACAAGTGTGTCTTGAACCTGTCAGATTTGAGGTAACGCAACAGATTCAGCCTGGCCTTCAGGAACAAGGTCAGGGCTGGAGATCAAAGTTAACAATTCGCAGCACAGGTTGAAGGTAAAGAACTGATGGGGTCATGGGGAGGAGTGGGGCCGAGACTCTGGGGCCTGTGACGTAGGAGTCAAGGAGTTCGGGCAAGGAGGTGAGGAAACACGAGTGTGCATTGGGCTTGGGCCCCCCAAGGCGCTGGTGCCTGAGAGCTGCGCCCTAAGTAGGGGTGGGGAGAGGGTGGGGGATGGGAGAGTGTCCATTCCCACCAGAGGACATTGTCACCAGGAGGGAAGGGAGGAGGGTTGTAGCTGTGGTTGGACAAGAACAGTTGCCGCTGAAATGCAGTCATTGCAGGAGTGGATGTGAAAGGTCAGTAAGGCCGGAAACAGCTGCTTGGGTGGTCGTGGAACTCTCTATTGGTGTCAGGTGCTGAATGAAGGGGTAGGACCAGGTGAGCTGGCTGCGGCAGGTGCAGTTGTGGGGAGCCCCAGCTCCCCACCTTTCTCCCGCTTCCCTGCTCAGTGTTCATCCTTCCTTTACAGGCATCAGCCCAGCCAACGATACCTGGGCTTAAGTCCCAGGCCCCTTCATCCCTGGCCAGTGTCCCCAACCCCCGCCTACTCCTTCCTGGGGACTTCACAGGCACCAGGCCTGGGCCTGGCTCTGACACTGCAGGTGTGTACCTGGGGCCTGTCAGTGCCTCAAGTGCTCAGGTCACTCCTGGCACCTGGAATCCCTGGGTTCAGCCTGGGCCTAGACAGGAGGATGGTCAAGATCAAGCTTATTCTCCTATTGCCACTGGCCACATGGACCTGGAGGCTGAGCTTGAGGGCATCCAGCAGCAACTGCAGGACTACCAGACCACGAAGCACAACCTCAGGTGAGACCCAGAAACCTGCCTGGCACCCATCCATGGGGAACAGGGGGAGTTGTCTGCCCAGTGATGGCCCCTGCATGCAGGCGGCACCTCTCCCCTTCCGTCCTGCTCAGGAAGGCCCAGGTTGGCCTTACCTTCAGGAAAAGCTGAGCAAAACTTTACACCTGTGTCTTGTGGAAGCCGGTGGTCTGCCGGGCAAGTGTGACTGACACGGGATGATGCAGTGAGCCACCCTGCTTTGTCTGGGTCCACAGCCCACGTACCCCACGCCCAGGCCTAGGACCCTCAGTGTGAGCAGCAACCTTAATCAGAGGGAAGCAGGCAGGTCCCACACGGCCAGCTCTGCACAGGGAAGAGGACAGAGGGGACAGAGGGCGTTTCTGCCTGATGGTGGAACAGGAGCCCTTCTCCCTCTACCCACACCAGAAGTGTGCTGGGCCTCTGCCTGGGGCCAAGCCAGGCAGCAAGTGCGTTACTCCCTCAGGTCCTGCCAACGGCAAGCAAGTAGCCTGCGGCAGTGGCTGGAGCTGAGCCAGGAGGAGCCCAGGCCAGAGGACCAGGAAGCAGAGCAGCAGGTTCAGGAAGAACTGCAGGAGGTGAGACCTTGGGCAGCCCCGGGAAGACTCCCAGGCGGGGCTTCCTCTCAGCCTGCCCCCTCAACCTCCCCAGGTGGAAGCGCAGATCCAGCAGCTGGCCTCCAAGTTGCAGGCCCAGCGCCAGCCCATCCGCACCTGTATCGCCCGCATCCATGCCCTGCGGCAGGCTCTGTGCTAGTCACCACCCCACGTCCAGGAACAGAATGCAAAACTGCAGCGAGTTTTTTTATTTCAAAATGTTGCAATTAAATGAATTACTGTTCAGAAGTCTCCTGCTTTTCGTACAAAAATACTGTGCTACTGATACAGTTGAAAAAGTTCAAATGGCTTCTCCTGCAGGAGAAATTCACAGCATCCCCAGGAAACATGAAATCTGGCCCTGTCCCCACAATCAGTGGCTCCCCAAGGACTGCGTACCTGTTGCCTGGGGACGGGTTTTTTAGGCACTGACATTTTCCCCTCCCCCACACATCACCACCAAGGTTCCTCTGCCTCCAACATAAATAAGCCCCTGATCAATAGCAGCAACTTTTCTGTGGGTCTGGATACAGGGAGGGGACCCAAGCTATCCCCCTGGCCCCAGCTGGGCCACCACCAGCTCTAGCTGCCTGCCCCTTTTGCTTTGGACACCACTGAGGGGGTTTGGTGATGGGTCCTGCCTACTGAAAAGAGGACTTGCCGGCTCCAGAAGGCCACTCGTCGGGGCCTGCAACGCCCCAAGCCATTAGTGAGCACCCTCGGCAATTGATGGCAGAGTTGGAGATGACGCATTCAGCCATAAGTGCAAAGAGAGAAGACAGCTTTTCCCAACAAGCAGGTTGGGAGCAGTTGCATTAAAGGCCCTGGTCTGGGACCCACAGTCAGTGCCAGGAGGCACCTCGCCCCATGCAAGGGAGGCCAAAAAGCAGTGACAGAAGGAGCAGCAAGAAGGTACTTTAACTACCACTTACCTTAAAACGGAAATCAGAACTGAATGCTCGGCCAGGAGATGTAGAATCTCCAGTTTATACAACACGTTAGAAAATCTCCAAGAGGGCATCAATCGTCCTGGCCTGCACTTTCTCTTCAGGTGGGTAGGGGGAAGATGTAGGTCTAGGACATGAAAGGGGCTCTGACAACCTTGTCTGCACCCTGGGCAGCAGGGACAGAAGTCACCCAGGTCCTGCCTGGTCAGACCTGATGGTCCCCTCCCTAGATAGCCTCAGAGGTTCCCCTTGAAAAGACCCTCACATTTCTGTGGAAAAGACCCCTCAGCAGCTGTGGCCATGAAAGGGGCTCTAGAGAGAGCCCAGAGCCTCCCCGAATCGGATTTTCTGTCCCGCTTTCAGCTTGAAGTTGAAGTCCTTGGGGGCCTCGAAGATGAGCACAATGGTGGAGCCCAGGTTGAACTCGCCCAGGTGCTCGCCCTTGCGCATGGGGATGCCCTCCTTGTTCGTGTGCGTCACGAAGCTGAAGTCATTGTAGGAGCCCTTGCTGTACCGTGGGCTGTTTGTGTGCAGGTCCTGTGGGAGGCGGAGGTAGAGCACGTGGACCTTGAACACACCTCTGCTGCCGTCCCAAACCTGTCCCCCACCCTGCTCAGAAAGGGAGGTCCGGACAGCAGCTCAGGCCATGGACTAGGCCTAACCCAATAGCCCCTGACGAGCTGTGAAGTGGAGGGAAATGGAGGATTCAGACCCCCAGCTGTTCACTAGTATGAACGGTGCCACAACACCAGCACCCGGGGGGCTGAGGGGCAAACTGACACCAAGAGGGGAAGCCCCGCGGGCATGGGTACTGGCACCCCTCACACACTTGGCCTCCATCAGCATGCCCCACCCAAGCTCCCCTTGGGTTTTTGCAGAAGCAAAGTGCCAGGAAGGGAAGTTAATTCCCTCCCTCACCAGCCACCTCGAGACAGGGGTGGGTGGGGGATAAGCAGAGCAGGAGCTCAGGGCCCAGCCCCTCCTCAGGGCAGCTGCTCTGCACAGCCAGGCCTGGTGGGGGGATGTGCCCTCCTAGAACTTACAGTCCAGATGGATCTGGCTGCACAGTAGACGGTGCAAGTGGCCTAGCCCTTGGCCTTCGGCAGGATCTGGGCTCTGCTTACCCGGTCAAAGTAGATGCGGATGGAGCCCACGTTGGTGGCCCCCACAGCTGTCAGTGAGAAGAAGCCATGTTTCCAGTCCCCAGTCAGGACTACCCTCTCATTGTGGCAGAAGAGCTCTTTGATCCAGCGGGCCATGCCGGGGTTCACGGACATCAGGGAGCCTGTGGGGACAGACACTGCCACTCCCTGCCCATCGGGAGGACAAACCTCCCAGAGCCCAATGTGTCTACTCTGGGAGGGCCCAAGACCCACTGTACCCCCATGTCATTCCAAATGCAGAGCAGGCTGGCTCCCAGCCTGCCCCTGCCACCCATGCCCAGCAGTCACCTCACAGCTTTGGAGCCTGCGTCCCCTGACACCAAGAAGCTGAGGACCTCTCTGAGTCCCCCAGGGGCAGGTCCCACCAGTGTGCTGGCCCAGGCCTACCTGGGAAGTGGCGCCGGTGGGAGACAGTCCAGTCAGTGGGGGAATGGAAGCAGTGGTAGTCCCCGGGGGCCAGGTAGATGACACAGTGGTAGAGCTCGTTCCCTTCTCGGGTGACCAGCTGGCTCCTGAAGGAGCCACAGGAGGTGGCTGTGGGGCAGACACGAACCAGGCGCTCAGACAAGCACTTGATGCTACCCAACACGGAGCCTGCGTGCAGCCTGCACACTGGCTTTAGGGAGGTCTGAAGCTGCAGGTAGAGTAACTACTGGTCCACAGGCCTCCCTCCCGGACCCACTCCCATCCCCACCCTCCACCCTCTGACATCCAGCGCAGCCACGCCACGGCACAGCTGCCTGGCCGCCACCAGGCCAGGACCCACCTGGTGGGAAGGGCAGGTCCTCCGCGGGGGTGCGAGGGCCCAGGAACGACTCCAGCGAGTAGGTGACCCCCTTCACCTGCTCCACCTCGCAGTTCTTCACCTGCCCGAAGTTGAGGATCTTCCCATCCGATGGGCTGATCTGGAAGGGACAGGAGAGGCTCGTTGTGGAGGAGGGGAGGGGACAGAGGGCAGGGCCACCTCCTTCTTGGGGTTTGGCCTGGGAGGAGTGCCCACCAGGCCACCTGTTTCTAAAGGCACAGCCAAGAGCTGCCTGTACGGAGGCAGGAGTAGAAAGGTGGGGTTGGGCCTCACCACGCTGTGCAGGCCGCACACGGGCCGGGCCTGTGGCTTCAGCTTGCGCCGGAAGAACTCGCTGAGGTTGCGGTAGTGGTGCAGGTCCTCCACGGCGGCCTCCTTCATGTTAACCCCGAAAGTCCAGATGTACAGGCTGTAGACGGGCCTGCGCAACCAGTGTGGCAGCTCCACTTGGTTGAGGCGGCCCCAAGCCCGCGATAGCAAGCGCGTCGGCACCGACTTGTACAGGGCCACCTGCAGGCCGCGAGCAGGCGGGTGAGTCAGCCACACGGTGTGCTCACCCCCCAACCCTCCTCCTCCCCATCAGCCGGTACCCTCTCCCCTCCCCATGGGGGCCACCTCCCGAGGCCTGAGCAGCTTGTCCCCACGAGGGCTTTGTGACATGGTTGTCTCTCACCAGGAACCAGACTGAGCTTCCAAATCTCACACACAGTACCAGGCCTGTGACACAGTGACTTACAGCTCAGCTGTCAGCCATTTCCTGCAGACTTCCCACAGCAGCTAACCCACTCCCTCCCCAGTCCCCAGGGAGACTGGCCAACACAGCCTCACTTCTTGAGGTGGGGAGGGGCAAACAGATCTGACACAGTCACAAAGGCTGTGGCGGGCACTACTGCCCGAGTCCCAGACCAGCACAGAAAGGAGAGGCCTCTGGTGCGCGGGCAAGTCCACAGCCCAAAGCACATGTGCTCGTCGCCCCCCACCCCAAGGTTGGGGACTCTCATGCAGACGGGTTGACCACTGACACCTGCGCTCCGAGGGCCTGGACATGCCCGCCGAGCCCACCTGTCCACACAGCTGTCCCCACCTGGTGCTCCTCCAGGAGGCAGAGGGGACTCGGCCTCTCAGTCGGACCCTCCAGCCAAACTCAGGGCCAGACGACCCAGAAGGGGCAGCCTCTTAAACCTCAAGTGCCTCTGCCATAGTGGGACGTGCTTCTAATTGGTGGCTGCTGCTTGCTGAACACAACCAAGACACCAAGTCCCCAAAGCATAAAAGCAATTCCACTCCAACTTTAAACACCTTTAAAGAGGCAATAAGTTAGCGGCTCCCAGCACTCCCAGCTGACACCCATCTGCGGGGGCAGCCCAGGGCTGCCCTATGACCCCAGGCCTAATGTCCAGAGGTGCCCCTGAGCTTTCAAGCCCTGGCAACGCCCGCCTGGGCTGTCCAAGGGCCTGGGAGCAGGGTTTCTTCCTTGGGGCCAGCTTGCCTGAGAGCCAGGCGCAGCCAGGCCGTTCCCTCACGCAGCCCTGCCTGGGGCTCTGGGTCCTCAAAGGCATCCTCACCCAAAGGGGCCCACACAGGCTCCAGCCTCCCTGAACCACCCTCTGGCTTCCAGAAATTAATTTGGATTCTTCTCAAAATCACCCCTAAGCTCTTTTCAGGCACCATTTTCTGAATGCCCAATGTGGGTTCTTTCCAGAAGCAGAGTCCCCACATGGCAGAAATGCAGGCAGAGAGAGCAGGCAGTGGACCATGGGCCGTTACAGTCACCTGTCTGCAGCCCACCCTCTCCACAGGCTCGGCCTCCAACGTGACCCTGCCGGAGCGCTCAGGCCCCACAGCACCACCTCTGATCTGACAAATGTCTTCTCCTCCTCGGTCTCCTGGGCCCCAACCTCAGGCCTGCCTGGGGGGAGGCCAGGCCAGCAGCCCCTGCACACTTACCCTGCTCACGGGTCTCCATCCCACCCGGCTGAGTGGCCTGAGGGCGCCAAGGGGCAGGAGGTAGTAGAGGACCGTCAGGGGCCAGGAGCGCAGTTTCAGGGCGGGTTTGGACATGCAGCTCAGCTGTCCCAGCCTTCGCCTCAGGGCCAGCTGGGGGAAGTACAACCTGCAGGGCACATGTCCGCACACAGCCAGGGTCAGTGGAGGACTGGGGGCCCCACCTCACCCTCAGCAGGTTCGCCTCTCGATGGAGTCGGGCAGCACCGGCCAAACTCCTTCATCCCAACCCCACTCTGAGGTGGGGGCTTGGCTGCCTCTGGTCGGCAGACTCACTTCCCAGTCTCCCCACCTGCCTGTCAGCTGAGACACACAGGGTGAGGCGCCTCTCAGATGGAGTAGCTTCTGAACCTGGCAGGGACCCCCGAGAAGACCTTGGGGCTGAGTGCACCAGGAAGATGGTGCAGAACCTGCCTTGCGGCCCCCTACCGGCCTGGGGCCAGCTCTGCCCACACAGGCTCCGAGGAGAGCTAGTCTGATCCCCCTTAGCCCCTGGCAGCGCAGGATCTGGGAAAATCTCTTCATGGCTCCAAGCATCTTATTTCCTCATTTGAGGGGCCTGACAAGATCACAAAGGAACACACAAACATGCACGAGCACTAGTGCGCGTGTACACACACACACACACACACACACACGCACGCACGCTACTGCTCCATCCATCCCCGTGCTCTTTCTGCATCAGGTCAGGTTCTCCAAAACAACCCAGAGGTTGGTGGGGATAAGCTCCCCGCCAACCCTCAGGCCACCTTCCAGGTCTGCTGGGGCCACATACACCTGACCCAGGCCCCTCCTTCCGATAAAGGTAGGTGTGCCTTCCCCAGACCCCACCAGCTCAAATTCAGCGCATTCAGCCAGGCTCAGCCTCGAGGGAGCCAGACTCTGGGATGAGCCTTTCCACCGGAACCCTGGCCCTCCTGAGGCATGACACTGAGGCCCAAGTCACCTTGCCACATGCCTAGGACCTAGAAAGTGCTCCTGAGGCCCCAGTGTGGCCATCACAAGACCACACTGCTACCCACTCTGAGAATGTCCCGAGTCTTTGGTTTCCTCATCTACAGAAACACTGCATTCAACTGGAGAATAAGGCTCCATCTGTGCCTGTGTGCTCTCAGCAGCTCTGTCCTCTACCCCCAATTGCTCAACAAACCAAGGAACAAAGAGGCACCTCAGCTGATATGAAAAGCAGAAAAAAATGGAGAACTGAGCCGAAGGCCAGGTCCTGCAGCTCAGTGGTGGCCCTGGGAGGCGCTGCTTCTCCACTGCTCACCAGACCCCCTGTGTCCACTGTCTCTCCCATCCCACCTCCTCCAGCTTTAAAAAGGTCTGGCAAGTGGGTAGGGGCCAAGCAAAGCCTGACACATCACTGCTCTCCCCTGGGTTCCCCCCATCCACCTCGCTCTCTGCAGAAATACAGGGACCAATCTCGGAGGAGCTGCGCTGCAGCGGGGCAGGGGCGCAGCGCAGACACTGGCCCACCAGCCTGCTGGCCCCCCAGTACCTGAAACAGGCTCTCCGACTCAGGTCCCCTGGGCCGGGCCCCTCCAGCCACGGGGGCTGGTACCCAGGCCCCCTGCCACCGCCACCACCTCCACCACGGGGCCGCTGGACGTGAACTCTGACCTTTCGGAGGTCGAGGCGGGGCGAGGCCAGGTTAGGACGCAGCCGTGGCCCGCAGCATCTCACCATTTTGCCGCGCGGAGCTCCGGTCCTCGCAGCGCCTCTGACTGACACATGGTGGGCGGCGCAGGGAGGCAGTGCCAGGCTCGCTCCCTTTGTCTCTCCTCCTTCCTCCCTTCCCCCCCGGAGCTCCTGCGCTGTCACCGCTCCTCGCCCCGGCGGCTGCTAGGGACAGTCCAACGGATCAGGGCTGTTGCAGAGACAGGCACCGATCACACACCTGCTCGGCCTGCGCACCGGCCCCGCCCTCGGCCCGTTCTGTCCCTGGCCTGGCTGCCTGCCTGCTCCCAGCAGGCAGGGGACCCGGTGCCTCTGAACCCAGGAGCACAAGCGGGAATCTGAGCCCCGCGCTCCAGGCAGGCGCCCAGCGTCGGCCTGTCTGCGGCCCCGGCGGCCCCTCCCTCGCTGGGACCTGACCTATTTTCCTTTCAGATGACAAAGTAGCATCTGAGGGATGAGGGCGCAGGAAGGCGGGAGAGGCGCGGCGGTAAGACCCCAGCATCTGACCTGCTCCGGCTCTCTCGTCGTCGTCGTCCCCATCCCCCGCCTCAGGGTCCCCCATACCTGCCTCCTCTGAAGAGGGGCACCAGGACGACCTCAGGGAAACCGGCTACCCCGCCTTCCCATCTCTCTGAGGAGGAACAGCACTTTGGTCCGCAGCCGCCCAGCTCCCTGAGAGGACGCCCAGCCTCTGCAGATCACGGGCAGGGGGAGAGCAAACATTCTGCAGCCTGGGAGTCACAGCCTCGCCCAGCGCAGCCCCCAACCCACGCGCCCCACGTCGTCTTTAGATGAAGACATGCGGGGTCCCAGGGCTGCTCCGAAGGCAGAGAACTGACCCGGCCCAGGCCCCGGCGCCAAGACCGAACAGGCGGCCCCAACTCAGACATAGCTCGACCCTCACAGGCTGAACTTCTGAGGTCCTGGGCAAACCCACCTCAGCCAAAGAGGTGAAAACCGCCAGCCTGACACCTGCCAGATCTCTAGGTGTGAGTGGCCGTGGGGCTGGATGAGGCTGACTAAGGTTTGGACGTTAGCATGGATTTCCACCCCTGCCAAGGCCCACCCCACCTCAGACCAGGACCCCTCGGCAAGCTCATCTCCCCAGGCCACCTGCCTGGCTGAGTGGCTGTTGAATGGCAGGAGGGTGCCCGCACAGGCCTCCTCCTGCCCAAGGCCCCATGGACACTCTGGCTTTTGCCTGGCCAGGCTCGAGCTGAGGTCCCACTAACTCCCTTCCTACAGCCCACCTGCCGAGCACAGCCCTGCCCCGCCCTCCCAGCCTCGGGCCCCAAACTTGCCTCCCGGTGGCTCCCCAGGAAACAGGCCCAGCGGGGTGATGGGCAGTCAGGTTTGCACCTGAAGCTAGGCTCCAGGACAAGGCTCTCTCCCCGACTCTAGAAACTCTAGAAAGCTTGGGCTGCTCGCACACCCGGGATTCACAGTGGGTGCTGGTGACGCCTGTGTGGGCGGGGATGGGAGCCAGGCCTCCTCCTGCCAGTTTTCCACAGTGGGACCTTGACCGCTGCAGGATGTTGTCAGAAAGGCACGTTCAGGAAGCCACAGACAAACCCAGCTTGGCCCAAGACCTCAGGACCTCAAAGCAGATCCCCTGTGTGTGCCTTTGCATTGCATTCTCCCCCAAGGCTTCCAGTCCAGGGGCCTGACCAGGCCACACAGCCCACCAGGGCAGTGGAGGGGACTCTGGGGGACCAGCCCAAGGAGCTGCTATCCTGGAGAGACTCCAGGAACTGCCCTGAGAAGCTGGGCAGGAGGTCTTCACGCCTCAGTCCTGTCTCCGTCACTACTCTACTTCCTCTTCTAAA